CTTTAAAGAAGAAAAGCATGGGGAACTGTGGTTTTCCCTTGCAGGCTGGTAGAGCTCCATCCTGCAAGGGGTTGCTTGGGGCTCCTCCTACTCCATACACCCACCCCCTGCCCCACACACTGTGGGGCTGGGGCCTAGGGGTAAGGGACAGCAGGTCAGGAGTGAGGGGCACTGGGTTTGGACTGGCCATCAATGTTTACAAATGGGTCCTGGTAGAAAAAAGGTTGAGAACCACCGCTTTAAGGTCCTGTGGCTATTTTCCCTGTCCTCTTCTTTTCTATGGTAATTGCATTCATCCAACCAAGGAAAGAAACAATATCACATGACACAAACAATCAGACACAGCTACATGACACAGGTCAATTTCAGATCTCTAGTAGAAAATGCTATTGGTGTCTGTTCACAGTCAAGCCATGAAGGAAAAAAAGCCTATGGAAAAATAATTCCCCAAGTCCAGATAAGGATGGGATCTGCTTTCAGACATTTCAGGAACAGAAAAAGAAATTGGATTCATGACACACACTGTATGTTGCAATAGATCAGTTCTGGCCTAGCTAGTGAGAACGATGTCTTGTATACATGGGTCTTGGGAGTTCAGAAGGACTTTACTGCACACAAAGTCAGGGTCTCATTTTTGTGGTGAGGATACAAAAATAGCAATACTAGATCCATTATCAGACACAAATCTGGGAGTTTATTGAATTAAATCTGCCATTTGTGGCAGGGCACTTGGGGTGCCTGTCACTTTAAGAGGTCAGTCAGCCTGTGGAGCCACGGGCAGGTGGGGGTCAGACCTAACTGCAGAGTCAGCTGACCCAGAGAGTTGGCAGGTGAGGCTAGGCCTATGGAAAGGAGTCAGCTGATGGAAGTGGGGCTGGGCTTAGACAGGGTATAAGCCCAGACCCTGAAACCACAACTTGCAGTAACGTTTTGGGAGCTGGTGAAGGAATATCACCCAGCAGGAAGGCTGCAGCTCCTGAATGCCAGGAAGGAGAATAACATCTGGAGCAGTCTGGAGGTTTGAGTAGGAACTAAGGGGATGGAGGAGGTTCCTGGAGACCCAGAATGGGATACACAGCCTTGAGAGGGGAGCTGAGAGTCTGTGGGTCTATTGAAGGGCCAGGTGAGCCCTCAGCAGGGAACAGAGTGGTTCAGAGACCTACTGAAGGGTCTGGGTGAACCCAGCGAGCGAGGCAGAGTATGGGGGCCTATTGAGGGGTCCAGATGAGCCCAGAAAAGGAAAGGGTTGTGTTAGTGAAAACCTATGAAGGGCTCCAGGTGAGCCCAGAGAGACGAAGTGGTCTATGGAGGGGCCCAAGAGACCCACAGAGATGGGAGGGCTGACAGCCAGAGGACTGACCCTGGGAATCTCAACTGGCCAGTGTGAGGCCAGGGCCCAGGAGGGGCCGAGGGGTGAAACTGACTGCCAGAGCTGGGAAAGCCTGGAGTTCTCAACTGGCCCAAGGTAGGGCCAGGGCCTAGGAAAAGCCGAGGGTCCTTGTGTGACCACAGCCAGGAGGAGGAGGTCAAGGGGCATGCAGCACCCCAGTGAGGGGGGCTAGGAATAGAGTGCAGGACCAAACAGATACAAGGGCCTGGAGAGTGGCCAGGAAAGTAGAAGGCCAAAAGGGTTCAGGGAGAGAGACCAAAGGGGCTGGAAGCCGAGAGAGAGGAGCCAGGAAAGAGACTGAGGCGCCTGGTAGCCCAGGAAGTGGTTACCAAGGTGTCTGACAACCCAAGAGGGGCCAAGAGGGAGACAAAGCAGTCTAGCAGCCCAGGAAGGAACCGTGTGAAGAGGCTGAGGGGTTTGAGCGCCCAGAGTGGGGCTAAAAAAGGCCAAGGAGTCAGAAGGCCCAGGCCTTGACTACAGATAAGATGGTCACTACAATAAGACCACTGCAGCCTCTCACACTCTTTATAACCACTAACATCAAGGTGTGATAGACAGGAGCTGGGCAATTGCTCATAGAGCGGGGCATCACAAAACATTTTGGGGGTAACCTGTGATACCATTCCCTTATCCTCCTCCTGGGAAAGCCATTGTTATCTCTCCACACAGTAATTCTGTATGTGACTAAATCGGGGTGGGCAAAATACAACCGACAGGCTGGCTGCGGCCCACGAGGCCATTCTATCCAGCCTGCAGGGCCCCTAAAAATTTTACAAAATTAACATTGATCTGCCCTTGGTTCCTGTCAAAAATGACAGGAACCAGAGGCAGTAGGACCCAAGGGAAGCCCGGTGGGCTCCTGCAACAGCAGCTGCGGCCCCCCCACTTGCTGCATGGTACCAAGAGCTCGGGCGCTAAGCAGCCCAAAGGCAGCAGTGGCAAACACTGCCCAACGTGGCAAGCAGGGGGGCCACAGCTGCTGCCGCCGCAGCACAGCCCCAACAGGCAAGCCTGGAGCCGGAGCCAGCACGGGGCCCAGGCTGGCAGCGGGGGCAGGTTACAAGCTGGTGCTGAGCACCGGAAAAGCAGCCCCTCCGCTGTGTGCCCAGCACCCCACACTGCAGCTGCTCACAGCCCGCGTGGCACTGCCTGTTCCTGTTCCGGACATTCCCACATGGGCTGCGAGCAGCTGCAGCAGGAAGGACAGGCCATGGGGTAGGGGCAGGGCCACTTTTCCCCCCGCACTCAGCACCAGCTCGTCCCCTGCTGGGGAACGTGGGGTGGGGACTGTGCACTGCCCCCCCCCCCC